GACTTCTACTATACCACAGTTCGGATGGAATTTTATTATTCACTGTTGATAACCTATTTATTAAAAATGCAGCACAACAAACTACTTCATTCCACAGTTCTTTACTGATATTATATTCTGCTAACATACACCCAGCTTTTTCTAGCTAAGTTCTATTTAACCTTTCTGCTTTACCATTTTGTTGCGGACTATATCTGATAGTATATTCTATTTTAATTCCTGTTTCTTTGCAAAACCTTTCGAACTCTAAATTAGCATATTTCCTTCCATTATCACATCTCAACCTACTTATTTTCCTATTAAACATAGCTGTCGCACAATTGTAATAATAAAATGTGTATACCCATCAAGAAAGGTTAGAATATACTTTTTCCCATTATAACTCACTGGATTAATTGGACCACAGAGATCAGTGTGTATCAACTCAAGAGGATACCTAGTATTACTATTATAATTTCTGAATGGTAATCTACTTTGTTTACCTATCAAACATTTTTCACATAACACATTTTCATTTTTTATTTTGCAATCTATATAGCCTTTGTTAACAAGATCATTTAATTTATTTTGTGCTACATGCCCTAATCTTCTATGCCAAATATCATTTTCAGATACAGAATAAGCCGCATTCACAGAATTTTCATCTTTGTTAATATTACACATTGAACTTTTTGTAAACTTTACTTTATACAAGTTGTTTTTTAACACTCCTTTAGATAAAATCTTACCTTTTTTACTTTTAAAAACCACAGCACCATTGCAAAAAACTACTGTTAAACCAGCGGCTTCTGCTCTGTGAACAGATAATAAGTTGCACCTTAAATCTTTAACATATAGTACATTAAGTAGGGTGCATTCTTTAGTAACTACTGTTCCCACTTTTGTTGCTAGCAGGCTTAGATTTTCTTTTGCTATGTTAATGTGGATGGGATTCTGCAACACTATGCTTCTTGTAAAACATTTTTCATCATTGATGAGGTGGTCTGTTGCCCCGGAAATCAACCACGAACGCCAAGAATTCACATTTACTCTTACCGGTATTTGCCATGAAAGAAAACCCTTTATCTTCACCGCTGGCTTCTACTCGATATGCTACTTGACAATTTTTTTTAAATATTTCCGTATTTTCAATTTGCGTTCTTCTTTCTTGTTGACCAAATTTTCCACAGCCGTAGCATTTGAATCTAAACTTTTCTTTCTTGCTCTAGCATAATAGCCCCCTCCTCTTGTGATATTTCTGTATTGTCTTTACTTCTACAATCCTTGGTCTAGCAATCTGACTGTCTTTGACAAAGTCAATTGTCAAATCCTTTTGCAATGTTTCGATAGCTGTTACTACACCATTATATGATTCTGGCATGGTCATCAGCAAGTTACAAATAATTTCCGTTTCATCTGGATTTGCTCCTGTAATCTTTAATTCTCTAATTAGTTTATCAAACGTAGGAAAATGGTCTTCCAATATTTCTTGTTCCTTGTACCTGAGAGTTAGTAGTCTCTTCCTAATCAGTAATTGAGACGAAATTCCTCTTTTCTCATATTTTGTTTTCAGCTTATCGAACATCTGTTTAGCCGTTAAACAGTCTTTTATATCCTTCGAGGTGGCTGTCTGCTATGCTCTGCACGATTATGTTCTGTGCTGTTGCGATTTTTTCTTCATGTCACTATTTTCTAATTTCACAGCTTTCAAGACTTCTTCTACATCATGCTCGGTAAGCGAACCGGAAGGGTAGATCTATCGGATATCACAAATTAAAAGATTAACAAATGGCTAGTGTAGCAGTGCCATACATCCTACTCTCAACACTGAATAATGTAATTGCCATCATTATTTATGACTTCTTGCCAGCGTGATGGCAATTTGTATTTTTCTTGTTTTTTTTTTATGAGATAGGGGGCAGACGAGCATACGGATCACCTGATGGTAAGTGATTACACCACCAGAGGGGCTATAAGCGCGCTGCCGGCCTTTGAGGGACGAATATGACCATAGGGAGGGAAGGGTTGAGGGGTAGAGGGAAGGGAATAGGGAGGGGTTGGGCCTCCGGTACCCTCACTCACACGACGAACGTAGAGGGGACAGGTTTTCCGGGTTCTCAATATGCATTTTCTTATGATGTTGTTCATAGGTAATCCACTTTTCTTCCCCAGTTATGATCCGGTCCAAGAAGGGTTCGATTTTGTTGCGTGCAAGCAGAGATGTGCATATGATGATTCGATCATTCAAATTCTTTTCATTTAACTTGTGTGGCACCCATCTCGAATACTTCCACACAAACTCTAGTTTCCGAATATGGTTGGAAATGGTTTGATGAGCTGAATCAAGCGTATCGTCGTCGATCAAAGATGGTCGCCCAGAGCGTGGCTTATCAGAAAGGTCGAAATCACCTACATGAAATTTTTGAACCATCTTCTGCATGTTCTATCGGAATTGTATCAAACACTTTCAATAAATTTCTATACGCTTCTGTAGCATTTCTTCCTTGTTGGAATTCGTACAAAATACAGTGGCGTAAATGAACTTTGTCGGTAGCCATGGGTACACGATCGTATCTCACTTAATACTAACAAGAATGAACGTCGTTTTAGTTCATCTGCGACAAAAATGTGTATACATTATTAGCGATCAAATGAGAGAGCCAAATATGTATCACAGGAATATGCGCATACTTGCTGAAACTGATTGTAACCGGAGCAGACAGAACTTTCCGGTAGACCTAATAAATCATTATCTGGGCTACCCAGCTTTGAGGTAATTTTATTATATGTATATGGTGCTAATTCCTAATCTATTTCTATATTTCTTAAGCGAGATTGGATATCAGCCTGTGTATTCTCTTTTGAGGATTTATGTATATGAAGCAAAAATAAATATTTGTCTGTGTTCACAAAACTGCCATATTTTCCTAATCAAGTTATTTAAGTGTGGCAATTTTATACAGAATTCAGTTTTATCAGTGCTTAATGAATATTTCACAGTTATGTTCATTTTTAGCAAAACACTTAATGCAAAATAGGTTGCCAGAAGTTCCGTATACCTAATAAAGCCTATTATTTTAACAGAGCATTATTTTATGTGCAGTCATTTATGTGCAGTTTACTTTCTTTAGTAGACCAAAAACCAGCTTTTGAGTTCTACTTACAATTCCCCACCCTGTATTAGAAGCATCAGAAAATGTCAAGTTTCTAGTTTTCCGCCTGATTAGCATGGCAAAACATGACATCACAGCATTATCATTCGACTCTAAAGAGCTAGGTATCGGCATCTTTCAAGTAACTTTGCATACATCCATCTATAAGGGACAGCTGGACAAATTGAAATTCAAATACCTTATAACGATGCAGTCTCTAATATCACATGTGCGTTTATTAGAAAAATCTTCTAATAATAATATTTTGTCTTTAATCATAAGAAATATTAATAGGAAAATAAAAGGAATCTAATGTAAAACCAAAAAATTACATTGTTGAGATAGACTCAACTGACTTTTTTCATAATTAACTATAAAAAAATATTTGTTCAATTTAAATACAAAACTTATATCTTGTCTACATTATTCCTAGATTTTGTAAAATCTGACTAAAGCCACAAATGCCAAACCTATTTGGTTTTGTTTTTCACATAAATGTTCATCTCTTTTTATAGCCTGTGATGAGAGTGGTATTTTAATTTTTTCATTTAACATGGGGGCTCCCATTTCAAAATCTTGTATCAATGGCATGTTTATTTTTAATATTTTCTTTTGAATTTTTGCTTAATCCCTAATTAAAGCCCCCTGTAAAAAACCAAACTTGCTTGACAAATTAGCTTATCAAACTTTACGTCGTCATCGCGCCGTTACCGTGCCGTCGCCGCACCTTTACACAGTAGATACGCGCCACGTAAAGCCCGCCACCGCGCCCCGTCGCGTTGCCCTCCGCGTCCCTGATCACTCACTCAGCATGCACCCTCAACTTTCTAACGTACTTACGACGTTCATTTTCCCACTTTCTATACATATAAGCACTAACTTCTTTTTGTTAAATTAGACAAGTTCTTGCGAATTCGTGACGTGCGATCTTCGTAACTAGCAATGTCTCATTATTTAATCAACAGTATACTAGATCGGTAAAAGTATGCTTTGAAGGCGCGCCGCGGTGTCGATGCAGTGGCGGGCTTTACGCGGCGCATATCTACGTAAGAGCATGTTCCCACTTGTCGGCCTGCGAAACCGTATTTTAATCGGATGTCGGCGCCTTTATTCACACTTCGGTTAATAATCGGTTGTCGGCCACCACGGCCAAGCTGATCTAATTTTAAGCACTCTACGCGAGGCGACTGTGCACGATGGACGTCGACGTAGTTCTTGTTGTTATGTATTATTTAAGAAGAAAACAAAAGAAGAGAGCGAAGGAAAGAAAATATTGGGTGCATCCAATCCTGAGAGAACGATTTAGTTTGGGAACATTTCAGAATCTAATAACAGAATTGAGAAGGGACGAAATCAGGTTTTTTAATTATTTTAGGATATCAATATCTACATTCAACGATCTACTGGCTAAAATATCAGTGAATATAAACTACCAAAATACAAGATTTAGAGACTGCGTTTGTACTGAAGAAAGGTAGTCAAGTTTTGGGAGCTCAAACTTTATTTAAAAAAAAAAAATATAAAAATACAGAAAATTAAATCTAAACCTTAATACTAGGTGCTGCCGATTTGGAGGCTAGCAAAAGAATGATTTATTCTTAATAAAAACTGTCCAAGAGGGCCAGACAGCGACGCCCACGTATTCACAGGAATTGTATCCAGGGTGCTGACTAAACCCCCTTTAGTCTAATACAGAAGGGCGAGGGGGGTAACAACTAGGTTGTCAATATTTATAAGGTAAGATAATAATATTATACTTATTAATTTGTTTCAAGGAAAAAATAAAGCAGTCAATTTTAGTTCACGCATATTTATTTTAAGAAATAACCTTAACAATTTTACAATTTTGTAAACAAATATCAGTAGACTTTAAAAATTATTAAAATCTAAGACAGAATCTTCAGTGGAACTAGACTGTTGTGACACTTGTGACGAATCAGCATCACCTGCTTGATGCTGATTCGACGGGTTGGCGTGTTGAATATCCACCTGAATGATGGATATTCTGGTTTCCTGAGGGGTGCACGCTCTGGTTTTGTGACGAATATACAAATTCTTGCCTGTGATCTCTTGACTGGGAATGCCATTCATAATTTGATGAGTATAAACGACTTTCGCGCTGCTTTTAAATTTTTTGGATCAGTGACAGCACGCCTGATTGAAACTCCAAAGATTCATCATCGTCAAAAGACGTAACACTCGGCAGAACACCTTTGAAAAAAGAGAGCATCAAATGTTCTTCACGTTTATCTGTTGATAGCCTGCTATCTAAAAACTGGCTCATCTTATCATCGAGGGTTATGGGCTTTTTGGAAGTACTTGGTATTGATACCTCTGAATTTTTATCATTGGGTAATGGTACCTCTGAACTTTTATCTTTTTTTTTGGCCGCTGGTGTTTGTTGACACTTTTCGACAGAATCATGAGTGCGATTTGGCTCAGCAATTTTTTGCAAAAAAACTCATCTGTTCTTTATAAATATATGGTTTTGAAAACTTCGCCCCTGCTCCGGATTTTTTGACGTCATTTCTATTGGCTCGCATCCAGGCATCTCTTAAATTCGATCACTTTGTAGATACTAGTTTACCTGAAATTAAAATAGGTTAATTTAGAAATGTTATCTTACCTACACCTTATTATTTTACAGATATTGTGCATAGGGTTGCTCCTTCAAAGAATTGCACTATTGTTACAGAGTTGGTGTCTCAACTATTAGTAAGATCTGCAAAGAAATTAGTTGTACTATCTGGGATGTATTAAGAGAAGAGTTCATGAAAATTCCTGATAATCAAATAAAATGGTTGGAAATTGCAAAAGGTTTTGAAATTAAAGGCAATTTTCCGCATTGTTTTGGCGCCATTGATGGAAAGCATATTAGAGTGAAGAAACCAAATAATAGCGGCTCGATGTATTTTAATTACAAAGACTATTTTTCATTTGTTTTATTAGCCGTTGTTGATGCAGAATATCGTTTTATTTTTATGAGTGTTGGCTCTTATGGAAAAGAATGTGATTCCTCGATATTCAAAGAGTCAACCATGTGGAAGAAAATGAATAATGGTAGCTTAAATATACCAAAACCAAGGCCTTTACATGAAACACTTCAAAAAGATATGCCTTACGTTCTCGTGGGCGATGAGGCTTTTCCACTGGCAACAAAATTGTTAAGACCATTTGGAGGCACTCATTTGGAGTACAAGAAATAATTTAACTATCGGTTAAATCGGGCAAGAAGGTACGTTGAATGTGCATTCGGTATTTTTCAATACGAGTTAAAAAACATAGACACTTACCACTCGCTTGTCTTTCTTTTTCATCCAAATTTTACTAAATCAGGTATATATATAAATAGGCAGCAAACTTCTCGCCAAGCAGATAATTTCAATTGGGGGTTCTTTATAATCTCTTAAAGTTTTGTCCCAAAGGACACCTCTTTCCTGAACTAGTATTATCAATTCTTCAGGGTTTATATTTGTTTCCATTATTATTTCGAATCACCAAACGTGCGTAACTACATAAAAACACAACAACTCTGCCTGCGCGCCGCGATGTATGTGTGCGCGATCGCAGCGACGTACACACGGACGGAAAAAGGGGTAGCGGGGTGACATGTCTAACGAGGAGAAATGACAGTTGGAAACAATCAAGACTGACTGTTTATGCATACGCCTCATAATAAAGTATTACATATACTCTCATATTAATCACATCTTCCCTCTTCGTTTTAAAATTGTCTACATACTAGGTATTATTATTGTTTTTTTTCCCCTTTAGCTTCTACGAAAATTAAATTAGTTGCAGAAATCTTTGGTGCTATTTTCATGACATTTTAAATCTATCTTTTAATTCAGTTTATATCGTGTCAAGTATACACGCAGTATAAGATATCTTCTATCTTCACTCAAGTGTATCATCATTTGGCAAGTTTATCCCATGGAGTCTTTCAAGTACACCTGGATTTTGTTCATCGACTTTCCCGTATCCAATTTAATTCCTAATAGGCACTAAGTTTGCAGGAACTAGATCGGGAGGTAGTGGTTCATACTGCTGTTGATTTTGTGGGCTAGCGATTACACGGTTTGCCGTTACTAACGGACAAATATATGATTCATAACATTTAATTCACCAAAAGATCCGGAAGGTACATCGCCAATAGGTCCTTGTGGTACAGCAATTTGTGGAAAACTCAATTTTACATTTACACCGGTCTGCGTTATGACGTTGCCAACATGTGAAATATAGTCTGTAATGACTTTTGATACACTGATAATCAGGAAGAGCTTCTCTTACATCGGCACGTTGATTTAAAACGTTTTCGCCGTTCTAAACGGGCAACCTCAGCTATCTGTAGATTTAGATGGTTAGCAGCAAAATGTGTGAACATAGATAGTCGTTAACCTCTGACCCAATCTAGGGTCTATTCCCCTCATCTTTTCGTAAGTTTCTTCAACTAAGGGTATGAATTCTCCGAAGTCAAAGTTTTGAACGTGAACATCTGATAGTGCTACCAGATTAGAATGTGGACCAATATCATACATTGGCTCGTCTCGAGGGGGTGTGCCTTCTGTAGAATGAGCAAGTCTGAAGGCATTGTTCTTCTCCGTCTTGCGCTCTTCTATCCGTTCTTTAAAAATTTGAGAACATTTACTGGGTTTGCTGGTCTTAGCAACCCTAGTTATTGGCCAGATAAGCGACTTCAAATTTTAAAATCTTTACTAAAATTCAAATTCCTAGTTAGAAAGAAATAAAAATTATGCCATATGGTTTTATATTAATGTGTTTATCAAATATGTCATTACACATACATTGTTACTAAACGTTTTAGGAATAAAATTAACATAAAAACATAAAACTTAAAACTGTAGTTATTGGCCCTAACATTGCAGTAATTGGCCATGAGATCATATAGTTATTAGCCACATCGTAAATTATACATAAAATTAAACTTTAGACATGTTTAATTACAAAAACAAGGGTATAGCAATTAAAACATTTCTTCTTCATTATCTTCATCCTCAATAGATTCAGATTCATTATCATTTAAAAGAAAACATTTATGGCATACAAAATCAGAAAGCTCATCATCATCTGGCAAATGCTCTTCGTGTTTACTAGGAATGCAATGACGATGATAGTAGTTTTTACAAGAATCACACAATAGGGACTTATTTTTAGCAGCTAAACGTTTGCACATATTACAATTTACTACTTCTATATTTGATATTATCTTTAGTTTACTGTTTTCTTTTTTAATTTCATTTTTAATACAGTTTTCCTTTTCAGAGTTTTCATTTTCGGTCTCAATGTTAATTTCATTGTTTTTGGTAACTTTTTTTGGTAACTTTTTTTGATTTTTTTCCAACACCTTTAGCTTTATTCGTCTTCCCAGCATTTTTTTCCCGTGTAGCTGCCTTCTCCTCTCTTTTTCTTTTTCTCTCCAATTTCTGATTCTCTTTTTCTTGTTTTTCTAATTCTTTTCTTTCAATAGCTGATCTGAAATTTTCGGAAGTAATGACAAAGGAGGTTTTTTCCGTCTTCCGAATAAACTTTCTCTTATTTTCTGGAGCATTGGGCAGGTACTCAGTTATTGACTTATTAAGATGAGTAGTTTTTGGAATAGTTGGTACAGTTGCTGACGTCGAAGGCTGGCACAAATCTGAAGGATTTTTTGTAGGTGTCATAGTAATTTTAAGCGTGGTCACATTATTTTCATTAGTTAGATTTACATTTGTTGCTGTATTATTATCATAGTGTATTTCAATATCTGTTGATTCCTTCTGCGGGCGATCACATTGAAAAAAGGACCAAAGTTTGAACAATGTAGGAGACGTTTCATTCTTGTTGACACCTTGAGATTTTAATACTTTTAGCTTGTCTATCATTTCGGCTCCTACAATGTTTTCAAATTCTTTTAGGGACATGAGCTTGTTGTCATAACTGTACTCTTCTATATTCTTTGATTGACTTAAACATTTGGAGTAATCTAAAGCATTCTCATCAAAGGGACATAAGCCACATGCTCGAAAACCATTTGCAATAGTTTCAGGTTTCAACTCATCTACAACAGTTTTGAGGATAGTAGCGATGTTTAATTTTGTTACCACTTCTCCTATGTTTTCTGATTGAAATTTTCGAACTGCATTTCGGTATCTTTTTTTAATAGGCCCAAAAACGGAAACATCTGCTGGCTGAGTGATGCGGGTAGTGTTGGGGTAAAGAGCAACTAGTTCAATTCCTAACTCTTTACAAGTCAAACTAAGCTGCAAAGTGATATGGCTTTTGTGACCATCTATAAATAGAATAACTGGTCTTTTGATGTTGCTTTCAGTAAGATATGGATCAAATATTTCAGTGATAAACTGGTTGAAAACATCTGCCGTCATCCACCCTGAATCACTGCGTCCGATACCCCATTTAGGTGGCACTGATGTCGCAATTTTTTCAGGCAGTCGTTTGTAAGGAAATACAATTAATGGAGGACAAGTTTTGCCATCAGCGGAAAATGTAAATAGTACCGTAACATTTTCTTTAGAGTTTCCAAGTTCCACAGAATAAACATTTTTGTCTCCTTTAGCAGCAAGTACGCGACCAGTAGAAGGACACAGCTGAAATCCTGTCTCGTCAGCATTAAACACACGCTTTGGATCCTGAATTGCATCTAACAAGTTTTCACTTGTCAAGTAGTTTCTTATTTCAAGAAACCATTTCTTTATGTCCGCTTCAGACACGCAGGCACTGGCTTTAGTTACTCCCTCGCTGGTTCTTTTAACTAAACTAGGGTGACGTTTTAAAAAGCTTTCAGCCATCCCGGACCAGGCCGATTATTGACAAAAGGGGTATCGCGTGGATTATCAGTTAGAAATTTTTGAACAGTGTCGAGAACATCATCTGACTTTCTAGGAAAGCCTTTACGGGCCATTTTAATCAACCACTCTGCGATCGTATTTTCTTCTTCATATGTCAAATACGGTGTCGGTCCGAATTGGGATTTCGAAGTAGGATTTTTAAGTTTGAACTGTAAGGTACCTCTAGGTATATTATATTTTTTTGCTGTAGCTCTTAATGACATGGTTTTTGTGTTCACTTTTTCTAGAGCCTCCTCAAGGGCCTCTTTTGTATATTGGGGTATCTTCGGCATTGTCTTTTCACGAACCTGATATAAAAATAAAAATAATTTAAAGATAATTTTTTCAAAATAACCAAAAATAGATTATAGTTATTGGCCTACTTTTTGTATAAGTTAGTTTTTCGAATTACACAGTTATTGGCCTAGGCTATTAACTATTTATAATGATAAGAAAATTCTAGGAACTAAATACGACACTTATCGTTACGAAATAAGATGATTTATTCATTAACAATGCTAGATAATAATAATTTGTTAAATATAGTAAATGGCATAGAAGGCCAATAACTATAAGCTATTCAAATAATAATGACAGCTATTGGCCACTACAAAATTTTGAGGTTATAACGAAACAAAGTTATTTTACACCCTAAACCTGTTTAAAACACATTACAAGACATTATTTCATAGAATTTAAATAACGGTACTGTTACTTATACTTTTTTAAATATTGCTTTAAAAAAAAGTAGCGGCCTTAATATTTTATTAATAAATATTACTTACGTTTTACCTCCGCCAAAATTTCACTCGCCGAAAAGATAACTGTCAACCTAGCGGATTTTTGTTGCACCTGTTTGACGGAGCATGAAAGTGTTGCCATTAATGCAGTATTAAATATATTATTTTGGTAGGATAATGCTTATTTTTGGCAATCAAATTTGAAAGGGCTGATAACTGTATAGGGGCCAATAACTATATCGTCTCTTTTGTCGATTTTTGTTTTGTTCTAGTGCATTTTTAATTGAATTTTTGTTAATAAGATACTAGAGGAGTGTTCGTCTTGAGTGTTAAGTATAGTAAAGTAAAAATTGTGTTTAGTTTTGTGTGAAATGTGATGTGTTTTGCGCGTGCATACACTGGCATGCAAAGGAGCGTGCTTAGCTGTCTTCAGAGAAGAATTGAACATTTTCAGCATCGACTATCATTAAGGTATCGGTAAATAATTAAATTAAATTAATGTATTTCGCGGTCCTTTGTAATCTGCGCACAATCGATATTGCGCATGCGCGTTAAAGAGTTGTCAACACCTAAAAATTTAAAATTTTTACTCCATTTTTACACTTCCTCTATTTTTAAATATTTGTCAAATAAAACGAACGTTTGCATGTAACCTAACTTGAAACTTTCGGCAGTGTCGGTCATTTTGTTTCTCCCTGTATATTCACGCGTTCATTTTATAAGTTATTCGTTTCTAAACAATCAACTTATACCGTAAAACAAATATTTAGGTTAGCGCAGAAATTCGTAATGTCGACCGATCACAGTCCGCCGGGCTGGTTGACCATTGGTGCAGTGGTAACGTTGACAAAAAAAAAATTATGAACAAAATGATGTAATAATACTTTTGATGTAATTTAAATTTTTTGTTGATGTTGACATTAATGAGGATAAATAATTATTTCGTAATAAAAATTATATTAATGTTATGAACGTGTTTTAGTTTTTGTTCACAAATAACAATGATAACGACGAAAAAAGGGTTTTATTGATATTTTTTTCGAATTGTGCAAATATTAGTAATTTTCTAAATAATATCGTTTCATACCTACCTACTTTATAGGAGAAAACTTATAGCGTACCTGTCATATAGAACAAAGGTCCCGGCTGAATGCTAGATAATAGCCTTATCTAAAACATTGTTTATTACGAAATACCTATTTCTTATGACCACCTATATGGTAAACGATTTGAATAGATAGTATCCACACTTGGGACAGTATAATGGCCAATAAATAAGATCGCAAAAGCAAAACTGCCAACTACGCAATATTGCGTAGTACTAGTGATGCTCAGGGGCCAACTACGTAATACAACGTAGGACTTTCTTACAGTTTAAATGAGTATTTGTGTTATTAGGCCTCCTGCAAAAGACGTTTTTAGGTTCGTTGGCATCTCAAATAAAATAAGACATAGAAAAAAAGTAACTTTATTATTTGAAAACTTTTCAAATTACAAATATTCTTAGGCACTTTGAGGCCGAAAAGTGAAGTTTTATAATGACATAAAAATAGTTTTTTAGGCATCCAATGAGATCCATAATGAGATCGATAATTATATAAAAATAAACAGGAACTTCTACGAACAACATTTTGAAATAAAATTATGCAAAACGAGGATCAGTGTGGTAAGTGTAAAAACAGTTGACAACACACAAGGCAGGCTTTTCCGGGCAAGTGGCACAAACGAAAGATGACTCTTTTCGTTTTTTATTTTTCGTGCAGACACGACAAGGCTTCGCTGGCACAGCCTTTTTGGCAGTAGGCGGGAGCTTTTCTAGGTAATGAAAATTTCTCAATGGGACACGACTTTTATGAACAGCTGGGGATGCAGGTGGTACATCTGGCCCAGGCAGCAGAGGCAGAGTTGGGTTTGCTTGATCTTGTTCAGGCTGAACTCGCGGTATATTTGGTCCAGGTACTTCTGCAGCTGCGGGAGTAATATCGCCACAGTTCAGTCCCAGTAGATATTTTACAAAATCTTCCCGAAACTTTAGGAGCCGTATTTTGGATGTGCAGTCTTTCAAACGTAGCAATCTGTGCGCATTCTGTACGTAAACCTCAAAGATGTGCAGTGCTAATTTTTTATGCCATCTGAGCGTCTTTCTGAGGCAAGAGTAATACGAGACCATCTGGTCCCCTCTATCAATACCAGACATGCCCAAATTATAGTCCGCAACAATGTTAGGTTTCAGTGAGACTTTTCCGTTTCTGTTCCTAACGTTCACAAGCTGAAGTTTGTGTTTATTTGAAATTACCATAACGTCACGTTTATCTTTCCATTTGCAAACAGTGATATCGTTGCAACTTTTAGCAGCTAACTCTCCACGCTTCAGCTTGGCGTTGGTGACATCTTTAGGAAGATTTTTGCGCATTTTCCGAAGTGTACCACATATATATGTCTTTTTTTCGCTAAGACGCCTAGTTAAATCCGGGGAGTTGTAAAAATTGTCTGCGTATATTGTGTGACCTTTTTCTAAATACCCATCCATTAGATCTAGTATAACTTCCGTGCTGTGCAGAACACCAGGTGGTGGTCGTTCATTTTTCCCTTTGTAAATACGTATTTTCATGACTATCCCCGAAGACTCGCAAAGTTCATATAATTTTACACCGTATTTATGTTTTTTATTCTTGATATACTGCCGGAAAACCAATCTTCCTCTCCACAGAACCATCGATTCGTCAATACTCAGATTAGCTTCGGGATAGTAGAGATCAGCCATAATATTATTGAATCTGTCTAGTATCGGTTGTATTTTATGAAGCCTTGATGTAGATGTGTCATCGTTCTCAGAAAAGTGAAAATATCGCAGCAATATTTGAAATCGATTTCTACTCATGATTTGTCTAAAAAGTGGCAAGTTGTACAGTTGATCTATCTTCCAGTAATGAGCAATTGTAGGTAACCTAGTCAATCCCATATATAGCAACATACCAACGAACTTGCGCATTTCCAAGATATTGGTGTCTTTCCAGTATCTAAACCGTGCATGTTTTTGTAAAGGACCAGCCATGCGATGAGCGTAATTATTAGTTGCTTGCACTATAGAACCCAAAAAAGCTTCAGAAAAAAATATATCAGCCAAGGCACTCGCCGAGGAAGTAAAATTGGTCTTTATACCTGGTTCCCCTAAAAACAGAAATCGTTGTGGTCTTGCTGAATCCATTTTCCACTGAAATTCTGGATCACATGATGGCCCTTCGACTCCAGGCGGTGGTGACGGCACTGATGATGGTCCGTCTTCATCGGGATCAGAAGACGAATCACTTTCCGATGAAACATTTTGATTTTCATCTTGCTCAGGATCATAATCGTCTCCGGACCCCGGAGAAAAATCCCCATTATCTGACGAGTCTTCTTCATAAAGAACGGCAGCAATTTCATGATTTTGTAGCGGTCGCCCTGAACGTATTTTCCGACAACCACGTAAAATACGCCGATTCAATCCGCGTCCACGTGGCATGGCGACAAATCAACCTAATGCGACGCGACGTGAATCTCACTGCACGCACCGCGCGACACTAAGTATGATGCAATAGATTGAGTATTATGGCGTGATCTAGGTGAAAAAGAGACAGAAGATGAGAGGGAGGATGATAGTTGGGATAAGGTGCCGATCGTTCGCAATTTTGCGTATACGCAATATTGCGTAGGTAGGCGTCCAGAATAAATAATATTATTAAGGGTGCCAACCTACGTAATGTTGCGTATACGTAATATTGCGTAGTAGGCACCACACATGACATTTTTAAACGGGAAGCCGAGTACGTAGTATTACGTAGAAGACCATTTGTATGGTGGGAACCAAATACGACCTGACCATATAGTTGGCATTCAGAATACTTATCTTCAACTACCTTTCAAACATTTTCAAATACCATTTCATACCTCTCTTTCGTTCCAACAAACATATGGAGAGTTTTTGTTTTTGACATCGATTCCCCCCATGGTTTTGTTGTAATCCCTCACACACGTAGGTTTCACCAAAAGCTTGCCTGTTTTCTTTCCGGTGAAGGTGCCGTCATCGTGGAAAGAAAGATAAAAGATATCATATTCACCAATTTAGACTGCTTGGACCCATGACAAGCGACCCTTGAATATGGTCAAAGACTCGTTGATAGACATTGCACCCAAGATTATATAAAGAAAAGAATTTCTATCCGAAGTGTTCAAGTATAGGGGTTAGTTTTTTGAATACGTTAGAAAATCCGGACGTTGCTGAAGAAATTTCTCCAATATGTTGATTATCTACAGAATGAAGAATTTATTCAGCAATACATACCCATTATAGGGCATTAGACGCCTAAACTTCGGCATTTCCAAAACGTCCATTGTCCAGTACTCATTCTGCGATATACTTGGATCTCGATCTCGATGTTGTTGACTATATGTCTAACTGGCTCCTCTAATTCTTCGTCGTCGGGAATGTCTTTTAAAAGAGCTTTGGCAGTTGTCTTGACAGGAATTAAGTCAAAGTCGTCGAAATCACTGCCGTCGCATATTACATGCCTAGACGCTTGTTTAGATGTTACTGTCACACTCGAAGTTGATGAGCATCAACTTCAGAAATGAGAGCAGCATCAGCACCAGAAAAAACCTTGTTTATGTTAGCATCAGTAACTTTAATGTTACTAATGTTAGTACGACCAACGTTTGCTTCAGTCAAAACGCTAGGCGTAAGACATTCCCGTCGATCCTCCGGGAGCCGTCTTTAAAAGTTCCTCACTTTATTCCTCCGACAGGACCATCGCCTCAACTTTCTATAATACATCGAAACTCTAAGACAACATATTGACTATAATTTATATCATGACCTACAATCCCTGAATCTAAATCATTGACAATTTTACTTACGTTACTTTGTTTACTATGACCAAGATTATATGAGTTATTCTGACGATAGTAGTTATTGCTTGGATCAGAAAGAATAAAAAATAGATTCACCACAGTGGTACGTCATCGACATTTGTTCATCGCACATGGCCACCAGTGGTCTGCACTATGTCCACCCTTTCGCCGGTAACGCGTAGTGAACCTCCTGGCATCGCATCAATGCCCAATGCTTAGATTTTGGGTCTGAGATCATGAAAAAGGTTACTG